AGCAAGATAGTTCAAGCCGTGATTTGTCATCATTGTGATGATTATGGCTTACAGCTCATGAAAACCCCAAATCCACAATCTCAGAAAATTAGAATATTCCATGCAATCAATAAAACAAGGATTGTACATAGAACAATATCGGACCTTTGAAAAGTAGAAGCATGCATATATACTCAGTACTTGGTTTGGGCCCCTTTTGCTGCAATTACTGCCTCAATGCGGCGTGGCATGGAAGCTATCAGCCTGTGGCACTGCTGAGGTGTTATGGAAGACCAGGATGCTTCAATAGCGGCCTTCAGCTCTTCTGCATTGTTTGGTCTCATGTCTCTCATCTTTCTCTTGGCAATGCCCCATAGATTCTCTATGGGGTTCAGGTCAGGCGAGTTTGCTAGCCAATCAAGTACAATAATCCCACGGTCATTGATCCAGGTTTTGGTGCTTTTGGCAGTGTGGGCAGTGCCAAGTCCTGCTGGAAAATGAAGTCAGCGTCCCCATAAAGCTTGTCTGTGGAAGGAAGCATGAAGTGCTCCAAAATCTCCTGGTAGACGGCTGCGTTGACCCTGGACTTAATGAAGCACAGTGGGCCAACACCAGCAGATGACATGGCTCCCCAAATCAACACAGACTGTGGAAACTTCACACTGGACTTCAAGCATCTTGCAGTGTGTGCCTCTCCATTCTTCCTCCATACTCGGGGTCCTTGTGCCTCTCCATTCTTCCTCCATACTCGGGGTCCTTGGGCCTCTCCATTCTTCCTCCATACTCTGGGTCCTTGTGCCTTTCCATTCTTCCTCCATACTCGGGGTCCTTGTGCCTCTCCATTCTTCCTCCATACTCGGGGTCCTTGGGCCTCTCCATTCTGGTCCTTGGGCCATACTCGGGGTCCTTGGTTTCCAAATGAGATGCAAAAGTTGCTCTCATCAGAAAAAGAGGACTTTGGACCACTGAGCAACAGACCAGGTCTGTTTTTCTTTAGCCCAGGTAAGACGCTTCTGACATTGTTTGTAGTTCAGGAGCGGCTTGACAAGAGGAATACGACATTTGAAGCCCATATCCAGGATCCGTCTGTGTGTGGTGGCTCTTGATGCACTGACTCCAGCCTCAGTCCACACCTTGTGAAAGTCCCCAACACTTTTGAATGGCCTTTTCCTGACAATCCTCTCCAGGCTGCGGTCATCCCTGCTGCTTGTGCACCTTTTTCTTCCACACTTTTCCCTTCCACATAACTTTCTATTAATGTGCTTTGATACAGCACTTTTGGGAACATCCAACTTCTTTTGCAATTACCTTTCGAGGCTTTCCCTCCTTATGGAGGGTGTCAATGATGGTTTTTTCTGCACAACTGTCAGGTCAGCAGTCTTTCCCATGATGTGTTCCTACTGAACCAGACTGAGAGACCATTTAAAGGCTCAGGAACCCTTTGCAGGTGTTATGGCTTAATTAGCTGATTAGAGTGGGACACTTTGAGCCGAGAATATTGCACCTTTTCACAATATTCTCATTGTCTGAGATTGTGGATTTGGGGTTTTCATGAGCTGTAAGACATAATCATCACAATGATGACAAATCACGGCTTGAACTATCTTGCTTTGCATGTAATGAGTCTCTCTCATATATTAGTTTCACCTTTTAAGTTGCATTACTGAAATAAATTAACTTTTGCACGATATTTTCCAGTTTCACCTGTAGATGTGAGATAGGTGATAGATAGATAGATAGATAGATAGATAGATAGATAGATATAGATAGAAGTAGATGTGAGATAGGTAATAGATAGATTGATTAAATATGAGAAAAATAGATGATAGATCAGTAGATAGATAGAAGTAGATTTGAGATAGATAGATAGAAAAGTATATCATATATTCCCTCTTAGATTGTAAGCTCCAGGATCAGGCCCTCCTAACCCTCTTGTATTGAACTCTATTGTTGCTGTATTGTCTCCCTTTATATTGTAAAGTGCTGAGCAAACTGTTGGCGCCATATAAATCCTGTATAATAATAATAATCATATTTACCTGTTTTAAGCTTTTTTTTTTTTTTTGTACTACAATTCTTCAGTTACTTCCTGGTTTCCATGCCTAGGCAATTATATCATCCCTGGAGTCTTCAGAAGGGATTTTCTCAGCTAAGCACATCATCTCGCATGCTTGAGCTGAGGGCAGATGGATTCAAGGAAGTAAATGCTACATGAATCACCCGCCCTTACTCAAGATGGCCATGGCTAGCACTACTGTGGTTCAAAGTGGTTTCTCAATAAAATAAAACATGGAGACATGTATGTATGGATGGATGGTGTAGATGAGTTTGCTTTAGATATATAAAAAGTGAATTAAATAGTGTTTTTGGTTTGTGATGCTCGGATGCAGTGTAGTTCTGCTTTTAACATGCTGTTTATCTGAATATCTAATATATATCTATCTGTAAGTTCCTTTTTTTTTGCTTAATTTATGCCGGCCACAGACAGTTCGAAAATCGGCCGATTTTTCGTCCGAAAGATTAATCGTCCAATTTTCGCACACTTAGTGGGTTAATTCGTCGGCCGGTTTTTGCGGTTTTTCCACTTTTGGATTATCGGTCATGTTGGAAAATTTGTGGAAAACGACTGATTTTCGCATCAATGATGATCAAATCGTACAATAGTTTTTATGAAAAAAAATATGCGCATGAGCCGTAACCTGGGAGGAAAAGAAGTTTCTCCTGTTATATGGGGTGAACTTTATGACTTGGTCGGCCGATTTTCGTAATAATTGGTGGTAACGTCGGTTTAACGAACAACCGATGGTTCGTTTATCGGACGACAAAACACCCGCTTTTCGAGCCATCTATGGCCTGCATTAGTCATTGATAAAGTGTACTGCTGTGTCCTTTCCTCTCCTCCTAGCCCTGGGGGCTGTGGGCAGATACCCAAATCCATACTCAGCGCCTTGCACTGACATCACGTCTTGAGCTCCATGGAGATATTCAGAAGCCTCCTCAGGCTGTGGGTGAGGATAAAAGGATGATTGACATCCTTTGTCACTGTCTTCCTACAGCTGTATGCAGAGCAATCCAACTGGTGTGTCTGCCTGTGTAATCAAAGGATGACTATCAGAGTATACATTTATTTATTTTTATTTATTTCAGGTACTTATATAGCGCCATCAATTTACTCAGCGCTTTACATATATATTGTACATTCACATCAGTCCCTAACCCTCAAGTGGCGCACAATCTAAGGTCCCTAACCCACAAGGGGCGTACAATCTAAGGTCCCTAACCCACAAGGGGTGTACAATCTAAGGTCCCTAACCCACAAGGGGCGTACAATCTAAGGTCCCTAACCCACAAGGGGCGTACAATCAATCTAAGGTCCCTAAGGTCACTAACTCACATTCATACATACACATACTAGGGCCAATTTAGACAGGAGCCGATTAACCTACCAGCATGTCTTTGGAGTGTGGGAGGAAACCTGAGTACCCGGAGGAAACCCACGCAGGCACAGGGTGAACATGCAAACTCCAGGCAGGTGGTGGTATTGGGATTCGAATTATACAGTGCTAACCATTTTTATATTATTATTATTATACAGGATTTATATATTAATTATTATTATTATTATTATTATACAGGATTTATATATATTATTATTATTATTATTATTATTATACAGGATTTTTATATTATTATTATTATACAGGATTTATATATTATTATTATACAGGATTTATTATTATTATTATACAGGATTTATATATTATTATTATACAGGATTTATATTATTATTATTATTATACAGGATTTTATTATTATTATTATTATACAGGATTTATATATTATTATATATTATTATTATACAGGATTTATATATTATTACAGGATTTATATATTATTATTATTATTATACAGGATTTATATATTATTATTATACAGGATTTATATATTTATTATTATTATACAGGATTTATATATATTATTGTTATTATTATTATACAGGATTTATATATTATTATTATAATACAGGATTTATATATATTATTATACAGGATTTATATATTATTATTATACAGGATTTATATATTATTATTATACAGGATTTATTATTATATTATTATTATACAGGATTTATTTATTATTATTATTATTATTATACAGGATTTATATATTATTATACAGGATTTTATTATTATTATACAGGATTTATATTATTATTATTATTATACAGGATTTATATATTATTATTATACAGGATTTATATATTATTATTATTATACAGGATTTATATATTATTATTATTATTATTATACAGGTTTATATATTATTATTATATTATTATATATTATTAATTATTTACAGGATTTATATATTATTATTATTATACAGGATTTTTATATTATTATTATACAGGATTTTATATTATTATTACAGGATTTATATATTATTAATACAGGGTTTTATATATTATTATTATACAGGATTTATATATTATTATTATTATACAGGATTTATATATTATTATTATTATAATACAGGGTTTATATATTATTATTATTATAATACAGGATTTATATATTATTATACAGGATTTATATAGCGCCAACAGTTTGCTCAGCACTTTACAATATAAAGGGAGACAATACAGCAACAATACAGTTCAATACAAGAGGGATAGGAGGGCCTGATCCTTGGAGCTTACAATCTAGGAAGTATGGCGTCCAGTACACTGATAATACAGGGCACAGCAGCATAAGAGGAAACTGTGAGAGAATCAGGCACACCATGCACCATTCTGTATCCTACCTCCAATCCCAGGGAGCAACTTGACCACGCCAGCACAGATCTGCTTCCATGCTTGGCGTGGTCAGATTAAAACCAGAACCAAGAGGAATCGGCAAGATCACCGGGTATTTTACAGCAACAGATTTACAGAGAACCTTATGAATATACACACTTATATATGGAATGGTTTTTTTTTGGGGGGGTAACATACACTTTACATGATTGTCCTTTGTCCACAGTCACCAGTCAGGAGATGTCAGTATGGCCTCATTCCTGCGACTGCACAGCTGCTCTTCTCAGTTACCCAGTATGCTCTGCTCCCTGGAGGAGCACAACTTCCTGTTTCAGCTGCAGGCAGGAGAACGCCCCCCTGAGGATGCCAAAGAGGTGAGATGGAAAGTATTACAGGCATATAAAATGATTTATCCGTGTGTTAGTTTTGATAGGGTAGGAAGAAGTTAAAGTGTAAGTTCACCTTTTTTAAATTTTTTTCTGAAAAGGTGAACGAACATCCTACAACCTCCCCACACCCCGGGGCCCCGCTGTACTTACCTCAGTGGCTGATGAGCTGTCAGTGCCCCTGCAGCTGGTGTAGCAGTCTGGGCATCTTAAATCCACGCTTTTTTCTGTGGGACTTCTGGGATGGAAACAGTGATTCTGATTGGTCAGCACCAGCACAGAGAATCGGTCTGATCTGTCCCGGAAGCTCTGCAGAAATAAGAGGGAGAAGAGTGGGGATTTCAAATCCTTGGACCGGCTGCGCAGGGGACACTTACAGCTCATCACCTCTGAAGGTAAGTACAGTAGGGAGGGTGCAGGGTGTTGCTTTTTTTTTTTTTTTTTTTTCCTTCTGAAAAGGTGAAATAACTCTTTTAAATTTCTGTATTTTTTTTATTTCAGAAAACTTTAACTCTGCATAATCTATGGCCTGCTTTACTGAAAGCAATTTGCTTTCCTTCCACAATGGGTGTGAAGAAAGAAAATTGCTAGATTCCCCCATCAACACAGTCAGCTCTATTGTGTTCTCCTGGCAGGGAGCCTTCCTGGCCGGTAGAACACAATGATTATTGATAGAGGCCATAGCTGCCGGCAGTAATCACATGTAAAGAAATACGACAGTCCGGTTTTACCAAGGTTGATCGATGGATCGACTTTATTTCTTATTTATTTCAGGTACTTATATAGCGCCATCAATTTACGCAGCACTTTACATATATATTGTACATTCACATCAGTCCCTAACCCTCAAGGGGCGTACAATCTAAGGTCCCTAACCCTCAAGGGGTGTACAATCTAAGGTCCCTAACTTACATTCATATATACACATACTAGGGACAATTTAGACAGGAGCCAATTCACCTACCAGCATGTCTTTGGAGTGTGGGAGGAAACCGGAGTACCTGGAGGAAACCCACGTAGGCACAGAGAGAACATGCAAACTCCAGGCAGGTGGAATTGGGTACAACCAGCCTGCCCATAGATGGATCAAATCCTGGCAGGTCCCCGATGAACTGGCCAAGATTCAGTCTATTTATGGCCGGCTTTAGTTGTGGCCCGATGTCAATGTCTGGATCTACTGATCTCTAATATGTTTTATACTCTGTCACTGACCTATTTTTGCATGTAGTTCACGAATTTTGGTGAATTTTGTTTTTGGGATGCTGAGGATTTCTCTTATTTATTTATTTTTGTTTTTTTAAAAGAACTTTTTGCAAAAAAAAGGAGTCATTGCTGTTGAAACTACATCATCTTTTTTTTTAGTGATGTTGAGGAATTCTTATTTTTTTTATTTATTTTTTGTTCTTTTAAAAGAATTTTCTGCAAAAAAAAGGAGTCATTGCTGTTGAAACTGCATCATCTTTTTTTATTGATGTTGAGGAATTCTCTTTTTTTTTTTTTATTTTTGTTTTGTTTTATTCTTTTAAAAGAACTTTCTGCAAAAAAAAAGGAGTCATTGCTGTTGAAACTACATTATCTTTTTTTAGTGATGTTGAGGAATTCTAATTTTTTTATTTTTGTTTTGTTCTTTTAAAAGAATTTTCTGCAAAAAAAGGAGTCATTGCTGTTGAAACTACATCATCTTTTTTTAGTGATGTTGAGGAATAGTTTTTAGTTATTTTTTGCTTTTAAAAGGATTTTCTGCAAAAAAAGGAGTCATTGCTGTTGAAACTGCATCATCTTTTTTTTGTGATGTTGAGGAATTCTCTTTTTTTTGTTTTATTCTTTTTCTTTTCTTTTTTTTATTTTGTTCTTTTAAAAGAATTTTCTGCAAAAAAAGGAGTCATTGCTGTTGAAACTGCATCATCTTATTTTGTGATATTGAGGAATTCTCTTTTTTTAGGTTTTTTTTTTTTTTGCTCTTTTAAAAGAATTTTCTGCAAAAAAAAGGAGTCATTGCTGTTGAAACTACATCCATCTTTTTTGTGATGTTGAGGAATTCTTTATTTTTTTTTATTTAAATTTCTTTTTTTTTTTTTTTTATTCTTTTAAAAGAATTTTCTGCAAAAAAAAGAGTAATTGCTGTTGAAACTGCATCATCTTAGGCACGGGTTTTTGCACCTGCATATCTTTCACAATCTCTCTTGCCATATTTGTCCCTGTGTCTTCACTGTTTGGTCATGTTTCTCTCCTTTTTTCTGTTTTGTCAGGGTTTGGAGGTTCCATTAGTTGCTATAGTTCACTGGTCAACTCCGAAACTGCCATATACATCTGGGATTTACACCCACTACAAGTAAGTTATCAAAGCCACCAGTTAGATTGTTCTGGCCAGTAACTTCAACATGTGATCAACGTTACTCACTCTTCCAGGCTCCCAAGTATTCGGCTGGAGAGGCCGCGGTTTGTCATGACCGCTCGCTGTGACTCTCCTGTTCAGGCTCACTCTACGTTTCGTGTCACCTACACGCTGCTGAACGACCTGCAGGACTTCCTAGCTGTCCGGCTGGTGTGGTCACCGGACATCAACATGGCAGCAGGTGGTGAGTAGAAAGGGGCAGCAAGAGGAGAAAACGACCATTGTCGTGTAGGACACAAGGATGTGCTAAATGTCCGGCTTTCCACAGGTCGGTGCTTGTCAGAAGAGGAGCGACGTATGACGCAAGCCGCCCAGGAGGCCATGGTGTGTTACACTCCAATTAATAGTCTGGGATTCTGTCGGAAAGGCAGCTCAGTGACCATCGGTGTCACCTTCATGGCTTTAAAAGCTGGTTTGTTTGAGGTGAGCAGTAGGGAACTGTCATAATCTTCTCAGTTTGGTTTTTTTACCACTTCCAGTCCGGACACTTTCACCCCCTTCCTGCCCAGGCCAATTTTCAGCTTTCGGTGCTATCACACTTTGAATGACAATTGCGCGGTCATGCAACACTGTACCCAAATGAATTTTTTTGAGACAGATAAAGCTTTATTTTGGTGGTATTTATTCACCACTGGGATTTTTTTTGCTTTGTAAATGAAAAAGTCCCAAAATATTGAAAAAAAGTGTTTTTCGTATAAAAGTTTGCAAATAAATAGTATTTCATCATAAATCTTGGCCAAAATGTATTCCGTTTATCTTTTTAGTAAAAAAAAAAAAAATCCAAATTAGTTTATAACCAAAAATGTATAATTTTTAAACTTTTTTTTCCCATTTTTTTTTTTTATATTATTATTTATTTATTTTTTTACATACTGTCACCCTAGCAGTACAGCGTCACCATGGTGACACTGTACAACTTGTGGGGGGTGATAAAGATTTTTTTTTTTTTTACACTTATTACTTTTACACCCATAAAGGCTGTAAAAGCAGTCATTTCTCCTCTCTGGCTGCATTCTTGCAGCCATTGAGAACTACTGTGTGAGCTGTGATTGGTCACAGCTTGTCACATTGTACAAGGCTGTTGTGAATATCCTTGTACCATGTGACCTCTGTGATCATTCACAGATTTCACACGTAGTAAGCAATGATGTCACAAGTGACATCTTGCTTACTACTCTGCATGTGATCACTGATTAGCCAATCAGTGATCAAATGATCAGGACCTCACAGAGGTCCCGTCCTACGATTGGTGTTCCACTGTGTCCGGAGGACACAGCGGGCACCGGATCGCGGTGCTCCACGCTCCCAGGGAGCGTGCACAAGCAGGGGGCGGGGAGGCCATTTATAAATGGCCACCCGACCATGCACTGCCACCGTCTGGCCGTTTATATACAACGGCCGGAAAGGAAGTGGTTAGGTGCGTGTCTCCTTCGGCTTTTGGTTACTTTAAGCAGATTTTATTATAAGTCTATGGAAAGCAAAACCCACTTGAAGCTGATCATCTGCAGGTCAGTTTCACCTGTTAAATTCTGAATGATCTCAGAAATGTCTTAAAGGATAAGTTCCCCTTTTGGACAAAAATAATAAATGCACATTTTTTTTTTTTTTTGCAGGTAAAAAAAATTTGCATTTTATTATTTTTGTCCAAAGGAGCCTGGAAAGCATTGCACCAGTGATCAGTATATCGCTGATGCCATGCAGGTCTCCTGCAGACCTGTCAGAATATCTGCTTGTTGTATGGGATGTAATCGGGCAAGCAGATATTCAGACAGGAAGCTTGAATGAACTACCAGGGCACTCCATAGCACTGTGGTAGTTCATTAAAAACTTCAAGCCCACAGCCGCTAAGGCTGCCGAGACTTGCACTTCATTCATTCACGGAAGTCCGTGATCAGGGACACTGACTGGTGACAGTATAAAAAATAAAAAACATATATATATATATTTTTTATTATTTTTTATTAAATTTTTTTTCTTTTTTTAAGATTTTTTTCCATATTTCACTATGACCAAAGTAGTACAATGTTACCAAAGTAACATTGTATTACTTTGGGGAAGTAATCAGAATTTTTTTTTTTTTACACAATTTGCTTATAGCAAAGAATTTGCAAGCATTTACCTGAATGACATCGATTCATTCAGGGTTTTTTTTTTTTTTTTTTTTTTTTTGTGCTTTGGCCCCAGTAATCACATGACAAGTGCATGTGATCGCTGTGACCATTCACAGCTAGACACAAGTATACAATGGGCATGAATGAAGCCATCCATTGTATACAACTGTCATGTGACGGTCACATGGTACCGGCAACGGGGGTCGATACTCAGATCTGTCATCGGCCGTGTCCGAGGTACACGGCCGGTGACAGATCGCGCCGCTGCGTGGGTCTGCAGGAGCGCAATCTGCGCATTTGCGGGAGGACGCCATATGGCGTCCACCCGGAACGCTGATGACATTTGCCGGCCGCCATTCGGCCATAGGGCGGGCGGCAAATGGTTAAACTGAAGTCATACAGATGCCATCAACACAAACCCAAAACTTGTTAGCAGTAGGCTGATGTATGAGGGTCTGTAGCGTAAAGGAAGTTCCAATATCTCTAGGGTTCTTCTATGATCTATTATTATAAAAATAAAGTGACGCTACAGGTTTTTTTTTTGTGAATTAAAATAACAAGCATGTTATACTTACCTGTTCTGTGTACAGTGGTTTTGCACAAAGCGGCCCCGATCCTCCTCTTCTCGGGACCCCTGCAGGCTCGCCTTGCCCCTCTCCTGGCAGCTTGCTATGGAGATACCCGAGCAGGTTCGCGGCTGAGCTCCTCTGTCCATTCACACACAGAGCGTGGCTCAGCCCTGCCCCATGCTCTCTCCGTATTGGCTTACTGGTTGTGATTGATAGTAGTGGGAGCCAGTGGATCCCGCTTCTATCACAACAAACACTTTACTCCTGCGCTAGGAAAGGACTCAGTAGACCCAATAGGAATGTTCTGGAATTTTCTGGAATATGCACTGCTTGCTGCCCTCAACAGATCGGGGTGCTCCAAATACACTGGATACAAATGGAGAAACAGAAAAAGGGCGCACCGACCTAGTGCATTATCTTTTAAAATAATTTATTGAAGAAGCAAAAATAGGTATCATACTCAAAATGGACATAATAACACAGGCATGTCAAACTGAACAAGATGTATGATCCAAACAACATCTGAGTCCATACGATGGAACCCTGGATGACCAACTGGCTAACGCGTTTCAAGGACACAACCTCTTCCTCAGAGCCAACCTATGTCCATTGTGAGTATGATACCTATTTTGTTTCTTCAATAAATTATTTTAAACAATAATGCACTAGGTCGGTGCGCCCTTTTTCTGTTTCTCCATTTGTATCCAGATCCCGCTTCTATCTCGGCCAATGAGGAGGGAGAGACACTGCTCTCATGCACACCGCTGGATCGCGATCAGGCTCAGGTAAGTATTAGGGGGGCTGCTGCACTCAAGGATTTTTACCTTCGTGCATAAAATGCACAAAGGTAAAAAAAAAACCCTTGAGCCCTTAGATCAGTGGTTCTCAACCTTCCTAATGCCGCGACCCTTTAATACAGTTCCTCATGTTGTGGTGACCCCCAACCATAAAATTATTTACCCAGTAATTATAATTCATGAGTGTCGTTTTACCTCCAATACTGCTGCTTTCAACACTGTAGCTGCTTTCAACACAGTAGCTGCTTTTAACAGAGTGGCTGCTTTAAACACAGTAGCTGCTTTCTACACAGTAGCTGCTTTTAAGAGAGTAGCTGCTTTAAACACAGCAGCTGCTTTCTACACAGTAGCTGCTCTTTACACATCGGAAATATGTGTTTTCCGATGGTCTTAGGCGACCCCTGTGAAAGGGTCGTTCGACCCTCAAAGGGGTCGTGACCCACAGGTTGAGAACCACTGCCTTAGAACCACTTTAAATAGATTCTCCAGCTTGAATTCTGCATCTCTGTGACAACAGTATCCCTGATTCTATTACAAGCACCCTGTGGTTTGGGGTAGGGCATCTTGGAGGTATAACCATAGGGGAATACTTATTGACTCTCTGCTGCAGTCAGCCATAAATACAGTCCTAATTCAGCAGGTAGTAACTATAGGATGGCCTAAAAATGAGCAGGCAGTGGTCTCCCAATGAATATCCAGCTCAGGGGTGGATAGGTCTTGACCAGCAGGAAAGCAAGCAGGCCAGAGTTTCCACCAAGATGGGGTTTCCTGATGGCTATTAACTACTTCAGCTGGGTAATAACTGTTAGTTTTTCCATTCAACCAGCCAGGCTGAATGAAGAAAAAACTCAGATTACAGCATCCACACAAGCGATGTGAAATCCCCCACCCCCTCAGCTGCACTAACAACGGGGGCTACTTAACCCCTCTTTCCAGTCAGAATACCCTGATCTGCAATTTTATTTCAATAAACGAAGTTAAAACTAAAAAAAAAAGATCACTGCTGCAGTGGCTGATCGAATGCTGGATTTCCAGCTGGCCTAATGACGTGGATGAGCTTTTAGTAGATTTTTATGAGCCTTTTTTTTTTGTGGGGGGGTGTTAATATTATTATTATTATAATACAGGATTTATATAGCACCAACAGTTTGCTCAGCACTTTACAAAATAAAGGGAGACAATACAGCAACAATACAAGAGGGATAGGAGGGCCCTGCTCCTTGGAGCTTACAATCTAAGAGGGAGGGGCTAGTGGTACAAAAGGTAGTAACTGTGCGGGATGGACTGGTAGGAGGAGTAGAAGATTCCATTATTAGCTGAGGGCAGGATAGGCTTCCCTGAAGAGAGAGGTTTTCAGAGATCATCTAAAAGTGGGCAGAGTAGACGATAGTCAGATAGATTGGGTAGAGAGTTCCAGAGGATGGGGGAGGCTCTTGAGAAGTCCTGGAGACGAGCATGGGAAGAGGAGGGCAGGAGGGTAGTGGGGAGGAGCAGATAGGATAGTTTGGGTGATATTTGGAGACAAGATTGGTGATGTAATTTGGGGCAGACTTATAAATGGCTTTATATGTATATATAACTGTCCAGCCTTCCTTTAGGTACCTCCTCTGCCTAGCAGGAGCATGTCAGATTTGTTATGCAGGCAGACATTTCAGGTGGTGTTGGTGCTGCTGCTGCTGCGGTACGTTTGGCCCTCCATCTGCAGTGACAATGCTGAGCTAGACCAGGATGCTACAGGCAGAGCGATGTTGCACACAGCAGTATGTTCGTCTGTCTGTACTGCAGTTTTGGCAGCAAGACTTTGCTGGGAGCTGCTGCAGGTTAACACAGCAAGGCCTAGGGGGGGGGGGGGGGGGGGGGGGGGGGGGGGGCATGGCAGATAAACGAACTATGGGAGGTATATAATAATAAAGTGCTTGTGAGCCACTAGGATCTACTGTAATAATGAAATGATACCATTTATATTACTATGGTTCGCTGGCCCTAATACACACACTCCTATAAATGTGTAACATAACCAAAAAGTGAAAGTGCAATTATGTCGCGCTCCGAAAAATACTACATGTGCTTAATAAATCATAAAATACCCATATTAGTGTGCTTTGACCTAAAAAACATTAATCGAAAAATAAATATAAAATATATAAATATAAAATATATAGATATAAAATATATAAATTAAAATAATATAAATGAATATAGTGATAGTCCCAAAGTCAATTCATATATTCCAACAGGTGCTTTTCTTGTAAAAGTGCCCTCCGAATTTGAATATCGATATGCGCTCCCCTCAATGGAAGCATAACATGCAATTGGGCAACCAGAGCTTTGTGTTTTAAATGACAGGATTGTCATCTGCTCTGTGTTAGTAATATGCAGGATGTTAGATGTAATTCTGTGTTTCATCCATTGGGATTTTCTTGGTGGTTTGCTCCCTTGATAAAGATTAGGTTACATGGACCTCTTCCTTTATGTGCTGCAGGATAGAGATCTATCTTTCCATCTCTCCCAGGGGCGGACTGACCATTTGGAAACTCGGGCACAGCCCGAGGGCCCGGGGTCAGTAGGGGGCCCCATGAAATGCCCCTGGTACCTTTTTTCATAGGCTTTTTTGAGTTAGGACAGGGACACAGGGGCCCCATGAGTTGTCAGTCCGCCCCTGATCTCTCCGTCTCTCCTTGTTTCTCCACAGTTTGAATATATGGAAGAAAGAGAAATATAGTGCCTTATCCTTAAACACCTTTTATTTGCAATCAGTATTCTATACACTCACAATAGAAGCAATAATAACACACCTTATAGACCCTCCTCTGTGTGTTCTGAAAACACACAGCCTATACTCGCTGCTATGATCTCACGTGCGTGGTGACGTCAGTGCCCCTCCCTTACGCGTTGCGCCACCGGGTCACGTGGCTTCGTCAGGGGGATGTAAAATTACACCGTGCATTGCCACAATGTCCTGTGTCTCTAAGAAGGAAGCACAGAGATGAAAACTGACCATCACCTCACAGTTTAGCTTCTGATAAAGGAAACTGGCAGTTACCAGGTATTTTTGAATAATTGAAATGCTAAAAACCGAGCAGACTGCAACAAAAAAAAAAACAAAGTGAAAAAATAACAGAATATGCATGTAAAACTATTTTGTGAGGTTACATTCATTTGAAACTGAAGCCGATTCAGTGAGGAGCAATTTTTGTCCAACACATAGCTCTTATCCTACCCAGCTGTTATTTTGTCTATCAACTGTTATTTTGTCCTGCATAGCTGTGCCAAACCCCACAATTCCCCTGTGATTGAAGGCAGGTTATCTGCCGCTGATGAAAAAAAAAACAAATCTTTGTCTGACCTTCAGCCTGCCGTCCTCCAGCACTGCTCCTACCCTGTCATTATCAGAGACCGTGTGTGGTGAAGTGATAAGTGCTTGAATGGTACAGTGTATGACCTGACCCTCTCCTCCGCTTTGATGAAAACATAAGACATACTGTAATATTCCCAGACGATTCATTATTCCAGAGATTGTCTGCAATTATCTCATGACTCACTCTTTGTCTGTGGAGGAAGGACATCTTGCTTCTGTGGGCAGATGGGAATTAACCAACTCTAGCCTGGACTAATAAGCCTTCAGCAACACCAATTCTTTTATAGTAATGGATAATGGTGGCCATGGACCTGGAGTGGATGATAGTCACATGTGCAGTACTGTCTGGACAGTTTCATGCATAAACATGCTTGCTCAGTTCCATGAAAGTTAGTTTTATTCTGTGGAATGAATAGGAAAAAAACAGGTTTGCTTTAATAATCTCTCTGCTTCTCCTTGTTTCTGCACAGTTTGAATATATGGAAGAAAGAGAAATATAGTGCCTTATCCTTAACCCCTTCCTGCCGGTGCCTCCCGGCCCTTTAAGAGTTTCAGACGCCGGGAGGCGGGAGTCACTTTGGGAGTGGGGCCCATGGAACCTAGCTCACTTTGGAGAGGTGGGGAGACCCCTGTCTCAGCTCCCCATATCCCTCTTATGTGTAAGTCACCCTGTGCCTGTTTAGGAGTACAGGGTGATCTGCCCTAATATTGCAGTGGGTGGTTGTTGATTGATGTTGTTATTATTATTATACAGGATTTATATGGCGCCAACAGTTTGCTCAGCGCTTTACATTATAATGGGAGACAGTACAGCAACAGTACAGTTCAATACAAGAGGGATAGGAGGGCCTGATCCTGGGAGCTTACAATCTAGGAGTTTTCATGCACGTATGGTGTGAACGAGCCCTAAATCAATGCATGCTGAAGCACACTTATCTTATAAGGCACCTCTAATAGAAGCCTGCAATCTCAACAGCCCTCCATTACCAAAATTGCTGATCTGTGATATTTTTACTGTGCCCCTGATTACCAACTGTACTATGTTTTTACACTTTAAAGTGTATTTCTACTTTTGCAGCCAAAATGAGATACCAACGACTTTATTTGTTACATGTCCTCATTCACATAGTGTAACTTAAAAAATAAAATAAAATTGCGGCTTATTTTTTTTAGACGCTCTATATTGGATCCTCCTGTGTAACGGAACTGTCCCCAGACTGCACTTGGGTACTTCCGTTAGGATAACGCTTCCCTGTCTGAACACCGACCACAGGCACCACAGTAGACCAAACAAGACTAGACGACACCAGACTTGAAGTAAACCAGGAAATAGACTACTTTATTTCAACACAGATACAAGATATATACACTCAAGGGAACAAACCCCCCCTCCCTGCATAATGACACAGGGCGGGGCAATCCACCCTTAGCAGCAAGAGACACACCAACAGACAGTCCCATCAGGAGGGGGCGCTGCTGGAGACCCCCCCCCCCCCTTCCCCACCAAGCCAATACACAAACACATTATTATTATTATACAGGATTTATGTAGTACCAATAGTTTGCTCAGCGCTGTACATTATAATGGGAGACAATACACGAGATAGTACAGTAACAATACAATTCAATACACGAGGGGTTCGAGGGCCCTGCTCCTTACAATCTAGGAGGGAAGGGATAGTGGTACAGGAGGAAATAGCTGTGGGGGAGGGAGTGGTAGGAAGAGTGGAGGAGTTCAGTAATTAGCAGGGGGTGGGGTAGGCTTCCCTGAAGAGATAGGTTTTCAGGGTGCACCTAAAGGTGAGGAGAGTAAGTGATAGTCTGATGGATTGGGGTAGGGAGTTCCAGAGGATGGGGGAAGCCCTGGAGAAGTCCTGGAGACGGGCATGGGAGGAGGAGACCAAGGAACTAGAGAGTAGGAGGTCTTGTGAGGAGCGGAGAGTACGTTTTGGGTGGTATTTGGATACCAGATCGGTGATGTAGTTTGGGGCAGTGTTATGAACAGCTTTATACTTCAATGTTAGCATTTTGAATTTTATCCGTTGGGCAATCGGAAGCCAGTGGAGGGATTGGCAGAGGGGGGTGGCGGATACGGAGCGGTTAGTAAGGTGGATGAGTCTGGCCGCATACATCCCATAATAGTTTGTTCCCAAGCAAGACACACAACAGAACAATTGGATGCAACCACATGGCATTAAACAGTCAACAACCCCCCACCCCAATATTAGGACAGGTCACCCTGTACCCCTAACAGGCACAGGGTGACTTACACATAAGAAGGATATGGGGAGCTGAGACAGGGGTCTCCCCATCTCTCCAGAGTGAGCTGTGTTCCATGGGCCCCCCACCCAGGGGCGGACTGACAACTCATGGAGCCTGCGGGCAATAGAGGATCATGGGGCCCGTGTGTCCTTGCCCAAACTCAAAAGCCTATGAAAAAGGTATCAGGGACATCTCATGGGGCCCCCTACTGACCCCGGGCCCTCGGGCAGTGCCTGAGTTTCCAAATGGTCAGTCCGCCCCTGCCCCCACCCAAAGTGACTCCTGTCACATATCTCCCCTTTCGGCAGGAGACTAACGCAGGAGGAAACTCAGGACGGGTGGACTCCGAAGTTAGTCTGTGTACTTCCAGTCCCCCAATGCCAGCACCCACACAGTACCCCAAACAAATCATCCTGCAAGGAAAAATCCTACTAGTTTGTCTTTGTTTATTAGGGTTTTGGGCAGGCAAATCTTCATTATCTATTATCAAGATTTGTTACACTGTCCATCCTAACAACGTGTTAAAGGTGTAGAGGCTTGGTTTCTTGCATTGTGTGTTAGCCCCGGTTCACATATATGCAGGCTGCGTTTTGCGCAGGCACGAGAGCCCATTCATTTGAATGGGCTCCCATGTCCCTGACACGCAGGGAAGAAGTCCCTGCACTTCTTTGAAAAACGCAGCCCGCACTGGAACCTCGGTTCCCAGTACGGTTGCGTTTTCCAGTGCGAGTGGCATGCCATTAGAACTAATGGCACCTGCCCACGGGTCTCATTTCTCTGTTCGGGTGGTGCGGCTGCACGGATTTTCGTGCGGATCCGCATCGGCACCACCCGTACAGATGTGACCCTAGCCTTAATGAGGACAGACAGACTTGGGACAAGCTCACCTAAATTTGCTTAAAGAAAACCTTGACTGCAAAGGTGGAAATATGCTTCAACACCATTACCATGACCACTTCAACTAGACTTTTGATTTCACGTCTGTTTTCCCTTCTAGCTAAGCCAACATATGAAGCTGAAGCTGCAGTTCACCGCTAGTGTGTCGCAGGCTCCTCCGGACGCTCGTCCTGTTTCAAGAAGAAGTAGTCCCAGCAGTCCGGCCCTTAGGGATCTGGAAAGGCAGCAGCAAGGGGGCGCTCTTGGGAGATCCCAGTCTTTCTCTCACCAGCAGCCCCCTCGCGGTCAACTCATCCGGTGAGGAATCAATCCAACTGCTTTATGGATCAGCATTACTCCCTCTTAGCCTTGATTCACACTGATGCGGTCCGGAATACACAGTGTTTTCTGTGCAAATTCCACACCGCATCACAATCGCGCTCTGTTCATGCGAATCAGTGCGGGTGTGTATGTTAAGTTAACAACACCCCGAAATCAGTATGCAAAACGCGGTGCGATGTGCAGAATCGGATTGCATGGGTGTGAATACCTTTGCGATCTGATTCTAGTGCAGTTCCTGCACCTTTTTGGTGCGATTTGAGCCAAACAAATGTATGACTCAAATTGCATCGCACAGAATTCGCATGTGATTTGCACTGGAATGAGGTTCCAAGTGTGAACCCAGCCTCAAAGTGTAGCTGTCCGGGCCTAGGAAGTATCAAAACAAATCATTCTGTGGGAGTGCAGACATGTTGTGTTGCCCACAGTAAATCTTGAATCTTCAAACCAACTTTTGTGTCCTTGTGGAGTTAAAGCCCAAACTGTAAACAGGACTTAGTTCAAATTAACATTAGGTACCACCCCTGCAATTTGACCGTAAAATTCCAAAGTGTCTATTAGCCACCAGCATTTAGAAATTGGACTGATAAAAGACAGAGGGTGGGGCTTAGAGTCCACATAGGTAGACGTCACGGACCTGTGTACAGACCGGGCCTAGGATCCAAAGGGTACACAAGGATCTATATTTTGGTTTGAAGATTTTAGTGCACCTGCTGCAAAAAAAGTTTATTTTTTAGTTTTGGATAGAGTGAGAAATGCTTAAAGGGTTAGTTCACAATTCCAGAAAAATGAAAAGGTAAATGAACTCTGTACATCCTCCCCACCCCCTCCAGTCCCCACTGTACTTAACTCTGTGGGCGATGAGCTGTTAGTGCACACACAGCCGGTGCAGCGGTCAGGGGATCTGAAGTCCCTGCTGTTCTGCTTCTTTCTGTAGGGGTTCTAGGATAAACCAGAGAGATTCCAATAGGTCAAATTGGTTATGTGGTGGCACTGACCAATCAGAATCGCTCTGGTCTGTCCCAATAGCCCTACAGAAAAGAGCAGGGATTTTAAATTCCCAGACCGCCGCATAGGCTACGTGGGACTGACAGCTCATCACCAATTGAGATAAGTTTACCTCTTCATTTTTTTTTTTTTTTTTTTAAAAGGTGAACTTGCCTTTTAAAAGCTCTTATCTGGTTATTGCTGTCTGTGTCTTTTTGGTAGGTTTTCTTATATTTTCTGTCTCAGACACCACAGAAAGCAAGAGGATAAAACCTCTCTTAATCTCTTCACGCTGGCCGAACGCAAATGTGCGGCCTCCCGGCGTCTGGGTCTAGACGCCGAGCAGCCGCACATTTGCGTTCTGTTAAAAAAGAACATGTGCTGAGAGCGTGTGCCCTGTGCGCTCCCAGCACACATGTCAGGTACCTATGGAAAGGTCCCAATCTCCTCTTTTGATCGGGACTTTTCCCTATTATGTGCCCGCCATGATGGCGTGTCACGGCGGTCACATGATCCTAAACCCTGCCCCGCCTTCTGAAACCCTTAAAGGGTGAGGAGGCGCCGGCACGAAGGGGTTAAACGCAATAGAAACAGTGCAATCTGTACTGTCGCCTTTAGATCTACCAAGTATGTAGTGCAGGGCCCGATTGGTTGGATACTTTAGGGAGGTCCTCATATTACATGGTTTTGGTAGATTTAAGGTCAATTGTACAGGGATGATATGGTCAGAGTGTAACGTGTATGGTGGGCCTTATGTCACCACCACAAGTGTCCCTATTAGATTTCTCATTATGTTTGTCCTGGGGATAGTGGTCACCAAGACAGAGAGGCTGACTCTCCCCAGTGGTAGCACAGACTGTAATAAAAACTTGACAAGGGATCCAACTCTTCCACACTCTTCTCAAAAACAAAAATAAATACAGTGGGGCAAAAAAGTATTTAGTCAGCCACCAATTGTGCAAGTTCTCCCACTTACAAAGATGAGAGAGGCCTGTAATTGGCATCATAGGGAGACCTCAACTATGAGAGACAAAATGAGAAAACAAATCCAGACAATCCCACTGGCTGATCTGGAAAGAATTTATTTGCAAATTATGGTGGAAAATAAGTATTTGGTCACCTACAAACAAGCAAGATTTCTGGCTCTCACAGACCTGTACCTTCTTCTTTAAGAGGCTCCTCTGTCCTGCACTCATTACCTGTATCAATGGCACCTGTTTGAACTTGTTATCAGTATAAAAGACACCTGTCCACAACCTCAAACAGTCACACTCCAAACTCCACTATGGTGAAGACTAAAGAACTGTCGAAGGACACCAGAAACAAAATTGTAGACCTGCACCAGGCTGGGAAGACTGAATCTGCAATAGGCAAGCAGCTTGGTGTGAACAAATCAACTGTGGGAGCAATAATTAGAAAATGGAAGACATACAAGACCACTGATAATCTCCCTCGATCTTGGGCTCCACGCAAGATCTCACCCCGTGGGGTCAAAATGATCACAAGAACGGTGAGCAAAAATCCCAGGACCACACGGGGGGGACCTAGTGAATGACCTGCAGAGAGCTGGGACCAACATAACAAAGGCTACCATCAGTAACACACTACGCCGCCAGGGACTGAGATCCTGCAGTGCCAGACGTGTCCCCCTGCTTAAGCCAGTACATGTCTGGGCCCGTCTGAAGTTTGCTAGAGAGCATTTGGATGATCCAGAAGAGGATTGGGAGAATGTCATATGGTCAGATGAAACCAAAATAGAACTGTTTGGTAGAAACAAAACTCGTCGTGTTTGGAGGAGAGAGAATGCTGAGTTGCATCCAAAGAACACCATACCTACTGTGAAGCATGGGGGTGGCAACATCATGCTTTGGGGCTGTTTCTCCGCAAAGGGACCCAGACGACTGATCCATGTACAGGACAGAATGAATGGGGCCATGTATCGTGAGATTCTGAGTGCAAACCTCCTTCTATCAGCAAGGGCATTGAAGATGAAACGTGGCTGGGTCTTCCAACATGACAATGATCCCAAATACCGCCCGGGCAAGGAAGGAGTGGCTTCATAAGAAGCATTTCAAGGTCCTGGAGTGGCCTAGCCAGTCTCCAGATCTCAACCCCATAGAAAACCTTTGGAGGGAGTTGAAAGTCCGTGTTGCCCAGCGCCAGCCCCAAAACATCACTGCTCTAGAGGAGATCTGCATGGAGGATGGGCCAACATACCAGCAACAGTGTGTGCCAACCTTGTGAAGACTTACAGGAAACATCTGACCTCTGTCATTGCCAACAAAGGATATATAACAAAGTATTGAGATGAACTTTTGATATTGACCAAATACTTATTTTCCACCATAATTTGCAAATAAATTCTTTCCAAATCAGCCAATGTGATTATCTGGATTTTTTTTCTCATTTTGTCTCTCATAGTTGAGGTCTACCTATGATGCCAATTACAGGCCTCTCTCATCTTTTTAAGTGCGAGAACTTGCACAATTGGTGGCTGACTAAATACTTTTTTACCCCACTGTAGATATGCCTAGAGATATACAGAATTAAGTCAGTACTTGACTGAGGCACCACAAGATTCCCACTGGTCATTAACCTTGTTGACTTAGCTTTTTGGCTCTGACCGTTTCATTTAAAAGGGATTGTGACGGTGAAAACACCATGGGGTTTACTTGCTAAAACTAGAGAGTGGAAATTCTGGTGCAGCTCTGCAGAGAAACCAATCTGCATCCAGGTTTTATTGTCAAAGCTTAATTGACCAAGCTGAAATCAGATGCCGATTGGCTACAATGCACAGCTGTACCTGATTTTGAGTGCTCCAGTTTTAGTAAATTATCCCCAATGACTTGTGATCCTATCAATATTAGGACAGCTATAAATAGGTGCTCATTGAATCTTTAACAAAAACTGATAATTATTAGGCTGCTATTTTTTGTATGACTTCAACATGTGCTGGACAGTTATAGGAATGGGCTCTCCCATAAACAATCATTGGTTTTATGTAGAAATGCTTACAGTGGTTGTAATCCCCAAAAAATCAAAATTTGAAATGACCAGCCTAGCTCACACAGCATTGCAGCAGAAGTCATCTGTCCCTAGTCTGGCCAAAAATAGGAGCAGCCAGTCATCTGAAATCCTCTCTGCTTTCCTACAGTGAAAAAACCTGACATGTGAAAAACATTTGTGTCGCCTCACCCCCTCTGCTATAACTGACACACTAATTAGGAGTCAGCAATGGGCAGCATTTAAGGCACCAGAGACTGCAGACTTTCATAGGCTGGAGGGAGCTGAGCAACGTTCGGGAATTATTCAGCAGGACCCTGACGACATTATGTGTCTATCTCTACTGACGGAGGGGGGGTGGTCGGGGAATACATTTAACAGGTCATCATTATCAACTAACGGCAGCCATACAACCTCACACAGATTTACCCCACAGCTCCTAGGGATTTACCCCACAGCTCCTAGGGAGGGAGCCGAGCAGAAGGATCACAATTAACCCCTCAATGGCTGCTGGGCACTTTTACTGTACCGCCCTACTTTCAAGTAACGCTCTAAACTTACACAGTAAACGTGGCCAGTCATTGAGGAGTTAAATCTGTGTGGCCATTTGCTCCCCCCAGTTGATAATTTTGACCTGTGAAAGCATGTATCCCCCTCTTTCCTCTGTTAGTACAGGTAAGCACATAGTGTCAGCACGGTCCGCTGAGTAATTCCGGAGCTAGGCTGTTTCGGGAGTGATCTGTGTGGATGGCTGCGGGACACACGCCCCCTCTCATGCTCATGCATGAGACTCCTAGTTAGTCTGTCAGTCACAGGAAAGCGGGTGTAGCGACACAATTGTTTGTCATATGTCGGGTTTTTTTACCGTAGGAAAGCAGAGAGAATTTCAGATGACTGGCTGCTCCTTTCTTGGCCAGACTACGGACAAATGACTTTTGCTGCTTTGCTGTGTGGGTTAGACTGGTCATTTCAATTTAGATTTTTTGGGTTTACAACCACTTTCAATGAACTTGTGAAATACTGCTTCCCAGGGATCCCTAGGCAGTCATTAGGTCACCTGACCTATGTTAAAGGGGAGGGTCACATTTCAGATTGGCTGATCTTCACCATGTAGTAAAGATATCTAACCACCTTGTCAGATGAGCAGCCATGGTGGGATCCCAGAGGAACAGTTTCTCTAAAGCCCAGTACACATGGGATGAATATCTGCCGGTTCAACAGAAACCAGCTGACATGTGGCCCATGTGTACAGCAGCCTGTCTGATAGAAGCCGGCCAAATGTCCAGAATTGGCATTCTAGAAAAACATCTTCCGATTGGCACATGAGCAGGGGCGGACTGACCATTTAGAAACTTGGGTGCTGCCCGAGGGCCCGGGGTCAGTAGGGGGCCCCATGAGATGCTCCTGGTACATTTTTGAAAGGCTTTTTTGAGTTTGGGCAAGGACACATGGGCCCCATGATCCCCTATTGCCTTGGGGCCCCATGAGTTGTCAGTCCGCCCCTGCACATGAGCTCTGACTGGTGTGTTCTGGCCAGGAGCAGTCCCCCTTTTAGAACACAATAGCTCAACGGGGAGATTGCTGTACTAACATCACATAGTACAGATACCTCCTTGCGAGATCCTCACATCCGCTGGACTGAATGAAAGAAAAAAAACTGTGTACCAGGCATAAGACAGGAGACCTACAGTTGCAAGAAAAAGTATGTGAACCCCTTGAGATTACGTGGAGTTTTGCATGAATTGGGCATAAAATGTGCTCTGAACGTCATCTAAGTCACAACCATAGAAGAACACAGTCTGCTGAACATAATACTACACAAACATTAGATGTTGCCATGGTTTAATTGCACATAATATGTAAACATTCACAGTGCAGGGAGGAAAAAAGTATGTGAACCTTTGGACTTAATAACAGTTTGACCCTCCTTTGGCAGCAATAACCTCAACCAAACGTTTCCTGTAGTTGCAGATCAGACCTGCACAACGATCTGGAGTAATTTTGGACCACTCCTCTTCACAAAACTGTTTCAGTGTGGCAATATTCTTGGGATGTCTGGTGTGAATCGCTCTCTTAAGGTCATGCCACAGCATTTCAATGGGGTTGAGGTCAGGACTCTGACTGGGCCACTCCAGAAGGCGTATTCTGTGCTGTTGCAGCCATTGTTTTGTTGAATTACTTGTATGCTTTGGGTCATTGTCCTGTTGCATCACCCATCCTCTGCGGAGCTTCAGTTGGCAGACAGATGGTCGTACGTTTTCCTGCAAAATGTCTTGATAAACTCTGGAATTCATTTTCCCATTAATGACAACAATCCGTCCAGGCCCTGAGGCAGCAAAGCAGCCCCAAACCATGATGCTCCCTCCGCCATGTTTTACAGCGGGGATGAGGTTTTGATGTTGGTGTGCTGGGCCTTTTTTTCTCCACACATAGTGTTGTGTGTTCTTCCCAAACAACTCAATCTTGGTTTCATCTGTCCACAGTGTATTTTGCCAGTAGTGCTGTGGAACATCCAGGTGCTCTTTTGCAAACTTCAAACGTGCTGCAATATTCTTTTTGGACAGCAATGGCTTCCTCCGTGGTGTCCTCCCATGTACTCCATTCTTGTTTCATGTTTTCCTTATTGTAGATGTGTCAACAAAAATGTTAGCATGTGCCAGAGATTTCTGTAGGTCTTTAGCTGACACTCTGGGATTCTTCTTTACCTCATGCAGCATTCTGCGCTGTGCTCTTGCAGTCATTTTTACAGGACGACCACACCTAGGGAGAGTAGCAACAGTGCTAAACTTTCTCCATTTGTAGACAGTCTGTCTTACTGTGGACACATGAACATCAAGGCTTTTGGAGATACTTTTGTAACCCTTTCCAGCTTCATGCAAGTCAACAATTATTGATCGTAGGTCTTCTGAGAGCTCTTTTCTGCGAGGCATGGCTCACATCAGACAGTACTTCTTGAAACCAGTAAACCCAAAGCAGGTGTGTGTTTTTTAAGGGCAGGACAGCTGTCAGCAACACATCCAATATCATCACACTGATTGGAGTCAAGGTTGGCTCACTCCTGGCTCTAAATAGCTCTGGGAGAAGTCATTAAGCTAGGGGTTCACATACTTTTTCCTCCCTGCACTGTGAATGTTTACATGTTATGTGCAATTAAACCATGGCAACATCTAATGTTTGTGTAGTATTATGTTCAGCAGACTGTGTTCTTCTATTGTTGTGACTTAGATGACGTTCAGAGCACATTTTATGCCCAATTCATGCAAAACTCCACGTAATCCCAAGGGGTTCACATACTTTTTCTTGCAACTGTATTTAATTTCAGGGCGGTTTAGGCTGGAGTGTTAACCTGTAGGTCCACTTTGATTGTATACATAACAGGTCTTTGGATTAGGCTCATGCGACATTAAAGTGTATTTATCCTTCTCTCTTTGTATAGAACCGGCAGCGTTATGGAGCGTCGTGCAATCACTCCACCTGTAGGATCCCCCTTGGGCCGCCCCCTCTACCTGCCCCCTGAGCGGGCCACCCTATCGCTGGATAAAATAGCCAAGCGCCAGTGCAAAGTTCTGGTGGTCAATCCAGTGCAGTGACCTCCGCCAATGCTGCCAAGCAGAAGTGGAACCTCCTAAAATCGCACAGCGGACGGGGGAACCAAACAACGCTTGGGATGGACGAAGGGCGTAGACCAAACAAGCCTGTACTGGATGGGAGATTGAAGCCACACAGAGCCTCTCCTGGATGGGAAATGAAGGGCCAAACACAATCTCGGCCCAGGAAGATATATGGGCCAAATAGAGCTTGGGTTGGATGAGGGCCACCAGTGGCCTACGCAAACGGGGATCTTGGGGCCAAACGTAGGCTGTGTGCACAGGGAAAAAGCGAACAGACACAGCCTTTGGGGTGGGAGGGACCAGGAACAAAAAAAAATCAGCCTGTCGGGGTGGGTAACTGAAGCCAAACACTGGTAGTACGAATGGAGCTTTGGGAAGCTTGTGTGGGTGGGACATTGGGACCAAAGAATGGGATGGGAGGAGCTTAACGTACAAATGGGGTCAGTGACTCACCCCGTGTGATATAGGAAATGAGATGGGAGAACGGACTGTACCCCCTTCTCTTTGCCACCATCTCTTGTACATTCAGGGTTTTTTTCTGTTTACATTTTTTGCTGTTTTTTTTTGTTATTTTTAACCAGGCATTTCAGACACAGATCGCCAGTGTTTTCCGGTTCCGCCAAATACCGTTTATCGGTTTGCACTTAGAGACTAGCCATTTATAGCTGCAATGGTTTCCTCAAGAAAGCAGAAAAAATGCCTTGGCCAAAGAGGAGAAAAATGTATACGTATTAAAGGGCCATCGAAAAGGTCTGCTAAAGCAAATCTAGAAAGGCAGTTAGTTGCAGGACATGTTTGTAGGCCACAAGTACCGTAGCCTGGGTTGTAACCCACACTGCATGACAGCGTGTACTAACATTTGCACATGGTACATTGTATGTCCCTCCCCCTACACTTTGTTGACCTGTGGGCAAAAACGTGATTGGAACATGAGCTACGTTCCTCTAATGATGTTTGTCTCATTGGTGGCTGCATTCTTGAACAGTGTTACTTACATGCAACCTCTGACATTGAGCACAGTGGGTTGCTCACGGTGCAGCTGCTCCATTCAGAAAACAGCTTGTCTTCTTTTCAAATGTGCAAGGCGTTCTGTGATTGGACAAAGGGTGTATGAACATTGCAAGCTATTTTTGTCCAATCACAAAATGCCTTTGAAAAGCATACTAGACCTTTTCTGAATGAAGGAGCTGCGCTGCAAGTGACCCGACCCACTGTGATCGCCATGCTTCAGCCCCAACTGTTAGTTTTATGGCTTCAATGGTGGCATCCCTGCAAGGGGTTGACTGTAAGCAACATTTCTCGATATGTCTTCCAGGACAGCCCCTAAGATGTAGAGCTCCTCCCATCGGAACAGAAGTCATGGTAACCCCCGACACTTAAAAGTCGGTCCTCCAGGCCTTCACTTAGTATTTTCTCTGGATGGGGGGGGGCAACATGTTTCCAATGGAACCTGTGCAGGAGCTCTGAGTCTCGGGGGCTGTGAGCTCCAGGGGCTCAGGGCGCGTGTTCCTGCGTGTGCTGTACCTTCTCATTGGCCAGCTGCGATACCTCCTCTGACTGGAAGGTGGCGGTTGTGTGTCTTCTTTTTTCAGTTCCTGCAGAGGACCAGGACCGCTGATACCGCTTCTCTTTGCCAGCAGTCCAGCCTGAAATGGAAGGTGGGCTGTCAGGCTTCCTAGTTTGTGTGTGGGGAGGAGCCAGCCACTTCCTGTCTGGCGGCCGCTGATTGACTGGAAGTTGCAAAGGCAACATTTCTGGGTTGGATGACATCATCAGAAGATGCCGGTTCCAGTCTCTTTTTGGCACAACCATGTGGACATTCTCTGGGCGGCTGTGGTGAAGCAGCAGCCACCAGTGCGGCACACATGAGAGGCAACATTTTCATACCAAGCTAAAACCTCAAGGCTTTTGCCCACTTTTCAACTTTTGGATCAGTAAATATTTCTTAGTAAAGCAACTTTATCGCTATCCAAAAAAAAGAAATAGAAGTCCTCTGAAAGGAAGACTTTTTGGCCTCGTACACATGGGGCGTACCACAACATGCACCCGTGCAAGGGTTATGTTTACCCTGTTTGCACTCGCGGCCATGCACCCATACATATGATAAATTTGGTGCAACAGCTGTGTCCGTCCGGACGCGGTGTCCCAATTGACATCAATAATATTGCCCACACAGGGATGCACGGAACACCTGTGCACCCCATGCGGGTAAACGCAAACCCTTGCACCCCATGCGGGTAAACGCAACCCTTGCACCCCATGCGGGGGTAAACGCAACCCTTGCACCCCATGCGGGTAAATGCAACCCTTGCACCCCATGCGGGTAAACACAACCCTTGCACCCCATGCGGGTAAACGCAACCCTTGCACCCCATGCGGGTAAACGCAACCCTTGCACCCCATGCGGGTAAACGCAACCCTTGCACCCCATGCGGGTAAACGCAACCCTTGCACCCCATGCGGGTAAACGCAACCCTTACACAGGCATACACTGTAGTAAATGAAGCCTTAGGCTTCACTCACACAGGCACTGAGGCCCATACACAGTGAACAGGCTATTTGTTGGTCCATAGCTGGCGAGTGCTGCATGCAGACAGTCCATGCAAGTGTATGGGGACACAACCACTACTTACACGCCTGTCACGTTAAGACGAGTTGCTGTGTCCTTGCAACCACTGCATCCTTAGACTTATGGGCTGCATGCATGCAGTAACTGGCAGCTAGGGACGCATAAACACAGGACCCGTTCATGGTGTCCAGGCCTCACTGCCCATGTCAACAAGGCCTTAATATGTACCTCTCTGGAGGGTGGCAAGTCCTTTGCTCTTTCTAAGAGCTTCAGCATCTGACTTCCAGGTACTGAGTGTCTAGTGCCTCCCCCCCTTTCCCACGTTCTGTGGTACCATCCTCTAGCCCCGCCACTCTTTAATTAGGACTTGCTGCCCACCAGAGAGGTATTTGGATACTTCTGCCGTAAAACATGGGCATTACAGCAACATACAGTTGCTTGGATTTGTTGAACTGCCATGCATTTTAAATGGCATCTCATCGCACCTCCACAATGCGGCGTGGCGAACCTCAACCCACAATGGGCACTGTGGTGTAATAAAGGTGCGCTGCGGCTCATTCATTTTGAACAGCCTACCTAACGTACAGCGTGCCTCAATCTATGAGAATACCTGCATGGCAGTTCAGTAAGGTGTGAATTGGCCCTATGGGGTTTTATTTTGCAGGGAAAGGTCTTCAGGTTTTTGTTTGTTTTTTTTTTTTTCTTTTGATAGTCACAAAGTCACTGTAAAGTTTGTCTCCTGACGAAGGATGGGTCTTGAATATAGCCCTCCCATCATTGCACATGATTGGTTCTATTGCATGATTGACAGGTCATCTGTGTGTAGACCTAGAGGGGGGGATTTACTAAAACTGAAGCACTCAGAATCTGGTACAGCTGTGTATTACAGCCAATCAGCTTGTTCAATTAAACTTTGACAAATAAAACCTGGAAGCTGATTGGTTTCTGTACAGAGCTGCACCAAATGTTGCACTCTCCAGCTTTACCCCCGGTTCACATCTATGCGTCTGTGCGGGCCACGTTTTGCATGGGCATGAGAGCGCATTCATTTGAATGGACTCCCGTGACACGCAGGGAAGAAGTCCCTGCACTACTTTGGAAAACGCAGCCCGCACTGGAACCTCAGTTCCCAGTACGGTTGCGTTTCCCAGTGCGGGCTGCGTTCTATTAGAACTAATGGCACCCGCCAGCGGGTCCGCAATTCTCTGTGCGGGTGGTGCGGTTGCACGGATTTTCATGCGGATCCGCAGCAGCACCACCCGCACAGATGTGAACCTAGGGTTAGTAAATCAACCGTTAGGCTAGGTTCACATCTGTGCGGGTGATGCCGCTGCGGATCTGTGCAGCTGCACCACCCACACAGAGAAATGCGGACCCGCAGGAGGTTGCCATTAGTTCTAATGGCACACCGCCCACACAGGAGGATGCAACCGTACTGGGAACCGAGGTTCCCGTGTGGGCTGTGTTTTCCAAAGAAGTGCAGGGACTTCTTTCCCTACGGGGCACGGGAGTCCATTCAAATGAATGGGTTCTCGTGCCCGTGCAAAATGCGGCCCGGACGGCCGCATGTATGTGAACCGGGGCTAAAGGGTCCAACACACAAGTTTTTGACTATCAGTCTTTTCCTGCTCATTAGGCACTGCATGTCCCAGCATTCCCTGGCAGCTGACCCTCCCTTGATGAGAAATTAAGACTAAAGAACCACTAAAACTAACATGTATGGATATCTATTAATACAAAGGCAGTCATTTTCACTGGAAGTTTACTTAGGGATCACAAATGATAAATCATCCCTTTAAAGCAGGGGTGGGCAACTGTGGCCCGCCAGCTGTTGGTGAACTACAAGTCCCATCATGCCTCTGCCTTTGGGAGTCATGCTTGTAACTGTCAGTTTTACAATGCCTCATGGGACTTGTAGTTCTGCAACAGCTGGAGGGCCACAGTTGCCCACCCCTGCCTTAAAGGGATAATCCTGAAGTTTCTGTATTTCTTTGCTGTGACAGAATCACTTCAAATACTGGACAAGCTGGGTGGCGGAGGTAGTTGTTTGGAGGTATTATTGTGCCACCTTCAGGATTGTTTTAGGTAGTGCAGCATAGTTACACGTTTAGGTAAAGCGAGGGATTTTGGTTGCATATTTTGTATGTGTAAATGAATCAAGCTGAGGAACAAAATATAAACTGCCGTGGCGGACCTCTGCTTCTGAAAATTCTAGCTGACTGGCTGTTATACCAAGTTAAAGGGTTTGTAAACCCTATCAGCAAATTTCTCGTATTTAGTCCCTTTTGCCCTGTTATTATTATTATACAGGATTTATATATTATTATTATACAGGATTTATGATGCCAACAGTTTGCTCAGCACTTTACAATATAACAGGAGACAATACAGCAACAATACAGTTCAATAC